CGTGACTAAAGAACTGTTTCCGCTATGACCCATAGAGACTGCCTAAAACGGGGCCGCTTCATCGTAATCTCGATGAAAATTCAACGGCCTCAAATCATAACCATAATCATCGATTTGGAGAAACGGATCATTAAGAAGCTCCCATGCAGAAAGCCTATCGGAAACCGTAGCTAAACATTTCTCGATAAATACACGCACTTCTGGATCCTTAACTTTGTAGAGAGCATCCGGTTTTTTTCCCTAAGAACAAAACGAAAAAAAAAGAAAAAAAAAAATAATATATTGTTACTAAGTTTTGAATTAGTCGTAGAAATTTTAATTATGGGGGTTCTTGATTTCTTACAGACATCACTTTCTTGTATATTTGAGCAGGGTGGGTACATTCGCTGTACGGATATTCGAATGTGACCATTTCCAAAACGCACATGCCAAATGCGTAAATATCGACTAGTTCGTTGTATTCCTCTTCGTACACCTCCGGAGCCATAAATTCCGGTGTTCCTGATAAATAAAAAATAAAAATAATCAAACCAATTTGATTTCTAATCTTGATAATGGCTTATGATTATATATTTTAAGGCCTCGTTTGGTTCTTAAGATAAGAATTAGCCAAGATAAGATTAAATAATCTCCTTAGGCCTCGTTTGGTTCCTATGATTAGCCAAGATAAGATTAAATAATCTCCTTAGGCCTCGTTTGGTTCCTATGATTAGCCAAGATAAGATTACATAATCTCCTGAGGCCTCGTTTGGTTCCTATGATTAGCCAAGATAAAATTAAATAATCTTGTGAAACCCCGATTGTATTATTAGACCATAGTCGAGATTAGAACCGTTTTTTCCACAATTACGGGCCGACCCTAAAAATTATTAGACTAACCAAACATCCAATAAAGTCCAATTATTTACTTAATCATGTCTAATCTTACCAACCAAACGAGACCTTAAAGGCAAGATACGCCATGAGAAAATTATTGAATTTTACCAAACATCAAACAAAGTCCAATTCTTTAATCAATCACGACTAATCTACCCAACCAAACGAGACCTTTAGTTATAACTCACCGACACACCGATCGGCGTGGGATTTCCTGAGAATCGCCGCAAGACCAAGATCCCCGATTTTGACTTCGCCTTGATTACCATTAATGAAAATGTTGTCGCATTTCAGGTCCCGATGAATAACCGGAGGATTGTGGCTATGAAGATAGAGAAGCCCGTGTAAGATCTGCCTGCACCAATGCTTGATTGCTCTAACATTGATTCTCTTGTGCCTCATCCTAAACCTTATCGAATTGTCCGAAAATCGTCAAGATTGCACTATCCAAAATCAAGAATCGATCTTTTTTTTTTCGATTTTTCGAGAATAGTTACGAGAACACTTACTGTCTGAGAGTGCCGGATGTGAACATCTCGGTGACAAAATTGATGTTCCTATTGGATGTATCCACCCAAGAAGTGTAGAATTTCATAATATTTGTGTGTTTTAATGTTTTAAGGAGATGGATTTCGCAGTACAGCCTTTCGAGATCTTCGGGGCTTTGTAAGAAATCATACAGCTTCACTTGGTTCCATGCCACTTCAATTCCTTCATACTCATCAAAAGCTCTATAACTACACACCAACAGATTAAAAATCAATTTAATTAAAGATCAAATTTTTATTGAATCTAATGTATGATAATGAATACATACACTATCTTTGAAGACCCTTTTCCCAGAATTTCATTATACTGCAAAAAAAAAAAAAAAAAAAAAAAAAAAAAAAAAAAAATCAAAAATCAGATTCATGAAAAATAAGCTGCAAAAAAGTTGAATTTGGGAGGAACCCCCCCCAATTGAGCATACCCTTCCGTACCCCCCAGAGGGATCAACTTCAACAAACTCAGAATCGTCAGAATCAAGAACAATGGTACCATTCATTTCTTTGAATCTTGAAATTATTTTCTCACTCTAACTTATCTTCTTGTTTCTTCTCTGGTTTTTTTAGAGAGAGAAAGTGAAAGAGATGATGAGCCCACAAATCCACAATAAATAAATAAACCAGAAAAACACCAAAAATGGTATTAGAATGATTTTAATTGTGGAAGCAGATGCATAGGGGAATCCATCAAAAGGACATTTTTTTTTATTACTTTTTATTTTTAATAATTAAATTATATTTAATATTCCCCAGTAAACCATAGACAACTCTGCCCCTCAAAACACCACAAGACTTCAAAATCCAGACAGAACCACCTCTCCTTTTCTTTCTAATGTACAACAAGAGCTGTAAAACAAAAACAAACACACAGACACACTGATTTTATGTATGTATCCTGTATGTATATGTATGCATATAATATATATATTTTTTTTTTTTTTTGAAGACAGGCCTGAAAACAGCTAAGCAAGAGGAGGGAGGGAGGGACCAAAAAAACTACGAATTGTAAATAAAATGGATTTTTATTCAATTTAATTATGTGGGATTCGGCAGTGGCGCAAGTGGGGGTTTCGGGGATATTTTAGTACGGATTTTGGTAAGAGATTGATTTATATTTAAGAAAGCGTGTTTTAGTGGGGAAGCGCTTTTTCGTGTCGTGAAAAATTGAGTATTTTATTTTATGGGGTTATTTTACATACCCCCTAGCCACCAAATAAACTAGGAATAAACTCAAGCTCAAATCATCATTTGACATACCCCTGGAGAAGCGAAAGTACTATACTACCCTTATATGCAATTTTCGGCCAAATTGCATTAGCATATATGGTCCTGCATTTATCATTTTTGCTGATTTATTTATTATTATTATTTTTATTTTTTTTTTAAAACCTGTTAAATATATACATTTATTTTTTTTTTATTTTTTAATTTTTAATTTTTTTTAAATTAAAAAAAATTAATTTTTTTTTTAATTTTTCTTTTTTAATTTTCAAAACAA